AATGATTTATTTTCCAGGGATACCTCTACATGGCGGAAAGTCGGTCGTCTCGTTTCCCACAAGTTGACTGTGACACAACTCCAGTTTTCTCCCGATGACAAATATCTTCTCTCAGTCTCTCGGGACAGAACTTGGTCCGTCTTTCAAAAGAGCGACTCAGGTAGGTTGAAATTCAAACTCACAACTTGTACCCATACATAATGTAACAGTGTTTCAAAATTGCCACTGTAAATACAGTTGTGTATAGTTCATGTATTCAAAATATCCAATTATAAATGTTTCAAATCCCAAAAATCATATTTTTTTTTATTTGGCTATTTGAAATGTGTGTATTATCTGAGTGGTGTTTTTTAACACCATTTGGCATTTTATTTTTCCATTTTTTTTAAGGAACACTACAAACCTTGGACTTGCTATACCATTTAACTTCAACTTCTTCTTGGATAGTGATCGATTCTATCAAATCAAGGGTTAATAGCATCTGAATCCAGAATTAGTCAGAATTCAATATATACCAATTAATTTTACATACATTTTTAGTTTTGTGTCTGCATATTGCTGAGAAGGGATTGTCAAATAATTACAAGTTTTTCATGTACTTTTAGTTCCAAGTAATCAGATCTGTTGTACAAAAAATGCATTCTAATTTCAAGCACTCAATATTTACAGGTAAACATGTCCTAGTTTCAAATCCGTTACAGTCTGCACCATAAGGGAGGGACAGACAATATCAATTCACGAAAATCTGTGTCCGTGTTCAGTAGTTTAATTCGTTTCTCAAATTTGACTTGTTGGATTAGGACCTAAGTTGGTCGGGAGATCGGACAAAAACACTGGCGTTCATACAAGAATCATCTGGTGTTGCGGATGGAGCCACGACTCTGCTTATTTTGCCACAGGCTCGAGGGATGGAAAGATTGTGGTCTGGGGATTAGGGGAAGAAAACCACCCCACCCTTGGCCCCTTCACCCCCTCCTCCGACCACCTAGATCTACCTGAGGTAAATAAAATATAAATAAATGGTAAAAAATGCCTGAGTGATCTTGTTTTTGTGTTGGATAAACCTGAAGCATTGTTAATGTTCAAGCTGTTTACATGGAAATTTAGAAATTTGTTTGCACAATTACTGTCAAGGATTTTAAAAAATATGGCCCTTGGACGTAAAATATCTGGCCCTGTGATTCTTTTATTGCTCGCTTTATGTAATAAGATTTACCCTGTAATGAAAAAAAACTGTTTATATTTGTTTTGTAGGCTACTTACATTTGAGACTGTAAATTGTAACTTAATGTAATTATTTTGTAATGATTTTTCTAAGTAGAATATTTTATGTTGTTTTGCAAGGGAACAGTTCAAACTCTGTCCTGGTTATTACCTAACGTCAACCTTTTATCAGACTGGATCATTAATTGAGAAAATAAAAAAATGGATGCAGTGCAAATATGCATTGAAATAAACTTGTAAACCATCATGCTGCCTTGCCATACCTTCCCATGTCATTATGTCATGTTGAAGGAGTCCATCACGAGTTTGTCGTTCGCCCCTGGCTTTGTTCTCTCCCCACTCGAGTACCTCTTGGCAGCAGGTACGGAGACTGGAGAAATACGACTCTACGGCTGGAAGGCCAGTGTTCCGTCGCCGTGGCGATTTCTATTCCAGCTCAGCGGCGAGTATCCTTTTATATTGAGTTTTGGGGAGCAACTTATATATTTTACTTACACTTGGGAAACTTTAACCAACAGTTATTTCAATGTTTGTATATTTCCACTTGTATTTTGTTGAAGTAAATAGTTGATTCTCCATCATTTGACTCTTATGGGACCTGGCAGGTGTTGAATTAGGTACCAAAATGATAGGTAGGAAAGATGATAAGCAAAGAAACAACTTTTGAAGCCGATATATTTTGCTACAAAAGCGACGTTTATTTAATACAAAACCCAAGCCAAACTCCAGAACTGTATAGACGATTAGACAATGATCGTAATTCATTGTGAAAGCCCCGAAACTGCAATAATGACTAAATGGGTTTTGCTCAGTGTTGTGTATTGTTTGTTCTTGTGCTGTGTATTAAAAATGTAGGCATATTAGTTTCATTCTGCAACAGAAACCGCATGTTTTAAGGACTTAAGATACAATAGCAGACTTACCTGAATGGAAATCAGTTCAATCCGGCTCAAGAAACACCAAGACAAAATTTTTACAAAGGAGCTGGAAAGAGAGTACTTCCCTGGGTTTAAAACAATGGATGGCTTTGTGGTAGTATATCCCTAATCAAAGCTGCCAAGCACTACTTTATATTTATTGTGGATATTTGTATTTTCATTTTCAATTATTATTAATTTTTATCACTTTTTACTGTGTTTCCTTAACGCTTTTTACAGCCATAGTCACCACCTAAGCATCAAGAAGCTTGCGTTTCGTCCGGAGAATGTAAATACGGAGGACAATCAGGAGAGCATTGACCTTCATCTGGCCAGCTGTGGCCTCGATCACACTGTGAAGGTTCACAAAATAGTTGTAAAGTTGAAATAAATAATTTGTATACAATTGTGTCTTTGCATTTGTCCTATTGAAATCCACATCTTCTTCCCTGAAGTGTACTGTGTAAATATTGTATGTTATGTTTCTTTAGTGTAGTGTGTGTTGTATTTGTGCGACACTTGTAGCATGATCTATAACGTGACATATAACTTGTGGATTAGAACCCTTGATGACCGAGGTCTCTCTTGAAGTAGCTTCAAAGAGATGGCAACTTTGGGAAATGTTAGCACTTTGAAGCTATTTTAGAAAAAAAATTCTAGTGGCTTTAACCACTGATCATTGATTGAAAGATTTTACTTGCCACACATATGTTGTAATTATACAATAAAACATGCAGTAAATAAACCAACACTATACTAGTTGACACAGCAGAGAGTATGTTTTATCATAGACTAGTGTGTTTTGTTTATATGGTGTAGTAATCCTCAGTACGGTAACTTCCAAGTACGGTAGTTACTTCCAGTAACGTAACATCTTTTAGTGAAATCAATTCAGTCGATTGTTTTAATCCAAGGAATCAGACTTAATTTGTGTTTAATAGTACATGACTGTATATTGGATTGGGAGATTTAGATTTATAATTAATTGTGATACAACTTTAAAAAAAATGTTGATCCATCTATAATACAGATAATGGATCTCAAAAGTCAATATCCCAAGTCGACCCAAGCCCTAAATAGTACCTCCGCCACAGCAAACCTGCAGACTAACCGAATTTCCATTTCCGTTCAATTTAATCTATTAAAATAACATTAGGTTTAACAAGTACCTATGTTTGCTGTTTCGGGGAGGGTAATACAGTGTGCTTTTTGTTATAAAATATGAAAAGCTTAGTATAAATTAAATTGATTTACAAAGTGGTCTGGTCATGCTGGTTCGCAAACTCATTCAAGTTTATCCCGCCCTGCCAACTTCAAGCCAAATTTTATGGATGTTGGACCAAGATTACTTTAGTTATCATGTCCACGGACACACACTCATACATACAAATTTGAAAGGATGGTGTATTTGGCCTCTAGATACAACAATAGAAAAAGTATATGAATTTATGGGTCTTACCATGCCACCTACATTAGGCCCAATAGCTACTTCCCTATAGGGAAATTCGCTTAAAGTCCAAACGTATACAATTAATTGACTACAAATTTAAAATAACAATCTTCTAAATTACAGTATTGCTTATATACCAACTGTTAAATATTCATTGGTCAAACACCTTAACAATTTAGCACCATAGCTTACCTTACCTATTTCTTTGACTAAGAGGATACCGCAGTGTCATATTCTCTCCGCTGTTTACTCTTTGGAATCAATTTTCATACTTTAGTGCATATATGGCGCCTCAACTTTGAATTGTAAACCTTGTCCCAAATGACAATGTAAGGAGAATAAATAAAAATTCTAGAGAATAAAGAAACCATGCAGAATTTTTAAGCTATCCGGCGACTATTAAAAAAACATGTTACCGTATATGTTATTCCATTTCCAATATTCATTCCAAATATAAAAATAGTCATTTTTTTTTAAATTCTAACTACTAAAATTTATTTTATCAGAATTTATTTTACAATATGTTTATAAGAACAATAATAAGTAAAATATAAAAAAGACAGGAAGCAATCACCTGTTCATGAACAAGTCTTGCGAAAAATTTGATACCTGATCGAATAACACTTTTTTTAGTCTGGTTATTCACTGACTATTGTCCAGCAGATTAACAGCCAGACACAAAATATATATAACAACTGTGGTTGGGGCCAGTTCAATGATATTCTAATTTTTCTTGGTAATTTTTGCTATGGTTTCTTCTTTCACTGATTTAATTTTGAAGTCTTCCCTAATTGTAGTGTTTATATGAACCAGGGTGCGCCAATAATTCTTCTCAGTGTCTTATCCTGAAATTTTTCAAGAATTTCGATGTTGGATTTGCTCCAGAAGGTCGGTAGAATCGATCTCACCGCGGACCAGTTTAAACAGAAAAAGCATGCTGTGCAGCTTTCTTCTGAGATGGAGAGGTTGGACGTTGCCAAGATTGGTGGGATAATGTGCCACAATCGAACAAAATCAAAAGCTGGCACAAACTGTAATATATTTTATATTTAACTTAAAAATAACATATTAACACCATTGGAAGGAGCCAGGAGCCACATTTAGCGTACCTCGAGCATGAGTTTTTTTATAGCTATCGGCTATAAAAAAAAGTCTGGAGCTGGTCATACTTTATAACTAACAAACTAAAACTAAATTATTACAGAACACTGTCAACAGTCAACATTTATGTCTATAAATAACAAAATGTAATGTGTCAATAACATTCTCCTGATAAATATCAAATAAACAAAAAAGGAATACGGATAATCACAAAAAGTGAACATTGGGGCCTCATGACTTTTAATCAAGGCCACCACAATTGCGCCATTTAAAGGGGGAAACATATGTTTATTGTTTACATATTCATATTACATAAATCCGTCACAAAGATTTGAATTTGAGGTTATGACAATTTTACTTATATATTAGTTACGGTAAGGAAAGAATTAACTTAGTACAATTGGCAATCATTCTCTATAAATTATCAGTATTATACTATTAATTGTAATTCTAGATGCTCTTACATCCAATACCAACTAGGCCCTAAGTGAAGGCTTAAAACTTTAGGCCAATAATAGGACTAAATAATTATTATTTTTATAATTATATTTTGCCTTTAGTCTGTTTAAATTTCTATTGGGAAATGTAGGTAAAAATTATACTTTGTGCTTTATTCACATAATGAATCTAACTTAGTGAATTTTCAGTGTCATTGTGGGTGAAAGAATGGGAACAGCCTCTACTACAAAACAGCTACTTGTAAGTAACTTATTTAGGTTATCGTTAACTTACTGTTGCCTATTTAGGCTAATTTAACTTAGGCTAGGGGCTACTTTCTTCAGTTTTAAAGTTGGTTTTAGAAAATTCAGTAGGAAAGACAATTTTTCTTATACCCTGTGTTGCTTCTTTTATTTTGAGCAATTAAGTTGGCCTATATCATGTGTCACAGCGCAATGTGAAAGTATCTTCTTTAAAACACCCTAGCCTAGGCTATGGCATAACATTTTCATACTCAAAACATACATTCAATAGCCTACTATTTCGCAGGAAAATCATATCCAATGTGATCAAACTATGTTAATAGGTACCGTAGGCTTATTTAATACGCTCTAATATATCGTAGGTTTCTCTTTGGAACTGTACCTCAATCGTTTTTCCTGTTGTCATTAATTTTTTTGTGTTACCGAAACTTATGGCTTTGGTTTTATAGGGTAAAGGTCCAAACTCTATTCTTGTGTCTAGAATCTATCTAGACTATTTTTTTTAAGAATAGGCCTAACTAACCTAATTTTTTAAGGGTAAGATTTAAGTTAGGTTCATTGCTTCTTAGAACTGTTTAGGTTTAAGTACTTAAGTTATAAGTAAGAGAATTGACTTATAATACAGAAGATGTATATCATTTATCTGGAAATTAAATTGACTCAGCTACCTAAATTGTAGTTAGGCTGCAATAAGCTAAAACATGAATTAAATTAGTCCTTATTTTATAGAAACGTTGTAGGAGCACACATAAAGTGAAACTATCTGGATAGGTATTAAAAACTTTGTGTCTGTGGATATTTTTCAAAATTGAAAGGTCTTTTGAAAAACTTGTTGGCTTTGTTTTTTACTCTTAATAGCCCATCTGAGTTCAGCGAAACTTAAATATGAAACCCATTGAACAATTTGATAGTTACAATAACCCATTAACTTTAATTAATTATTGTACTTACCGTACCATGTAGATACAATGATTTTACATAAATACTTTTAATATGTACAGAAAAAGCTGACGTCTTGCGTCTACGTTTTCTCCGGGGGAATCGGTCTGTTTTCTGCTTACAACATATACAATGAAAATGAGAAGTTTTACGAGGCGATTGTATTACCAGCGGTTCACAAGCTCAATCCAGAGACAGCTCATAATCTGGGAGTGATCACGTCAAAATACAAATTACTTCCAAAGACGAAATATGTGGACGGAAATTCTCTGGTAAGTTGTCATATTTTTTAGGCTAGATATCTTGTTAAAGTTCACTGCTCAATTTAATCAATTTTTTTAGAGTGTGGCACACCATGTGTTTACTCTGTTAGGGCCTACTCTGTCTATAGGCTACTTTTAGGGTTTTTCATAACAAATTGAATAGGTCCTAATGCTTGAAAAATAAGGTGATAGTTGATGTTTTTAACGAGGGGCCAGTTAAATAAACATTATAATAGAGCTTTACTATTGCCAGAAACTAGTTAGAAGTGTTTAAACTCATACAATATTACTAGTTAAATATATCAACTAAATGTTCATCCAGGCGACAGAAGTGTGGGGTCTCAAATTCAAGAACCCCATTGGCATGGCTGCAGGATTTGACAAGCAAGGGGAGGCGGTAGAAGGGCTGCATGACATCGGTTTTGGTTTTGTCGAGGTCGGCTCTGTCACACCGCAGCCTCAGCCGGGGAACTCCAAGCCTCGAGTGTTCAGGCTGACGGAAAATCAGGCCATCATAAACAGGTATGAGAGATTCTTGAGATATGTTTTAATGTAGTAATTTTTGGACGATTTAAACATGTTTTATAAAGCACTTCCATTTTAAGGCAAAGCTGGCTAATTTAGTGGTGCTTACCAGTGATGATCAAGTAAAAGAGTTTTGAATGTTACATCTTGAATCTGATCAGGCTATTGTTTCTGTAAAATACAAAATCCAGTCAAATGTGAGGATTGATTCTCGTTGTCTTTGACTTTATTTATAATTAATTCAATTGGAAACTTCTAAATTCGTCCTGCCGCTTGTGCGGTGGTTTGCTTTTTCTGCACATCAGCTCAAGAGCCATCTTGCTCCCAATCATGTTTGGAGTCTCTTTCCACCAGCTCCAAATCATTTTTATTTCAAAGCTGCTAACAGATACACCACTTGTAACGATTTTCGTTACAATAAATCTGTTAGAAGAGTTTGATCTAGATAGGTTTAATATTTAACATTCGCAGACGGGTTTACATGTTATGTAGGTGAGCTGACGTTCAAGGACAAAAGACAAGGCAATGGTCACCTATTCATGCGACGGAGGGGGGAATTAGTTTCATGGTTTGCAAACAGATAGAGTCGCTGTAGGTGTACGCCGAAATTAAATGAGTGAGGGCAGACTACGGTAAATGCCCACATTCGTCATTGTACTGTATGTCATGTTGGTCGCATCTGGAGAAGCAGATCATCTTACATGTTATAACCCTCAGAACGAGGTAAGATTTTAAGGAAATTTTAGTTTATTTAAAAAATTACAAATTTATTCCAGGAAAGAGCGTTAATATATCGAGAAGTGCATTGTTAATTGTTTTAAGTGAATGTTTTAAGTTGCAGAGTAGTTTGAATAGACAAGTTGTAGATTGCAGGATCATACCACGTGGTGGCAAGATAGAAAATGTATAATTTTGTAATTTTAAATTCCATCTAGGCACTCAATCTTTAGTTTTAAGTAATTTTAAGTATGCATCATGGGTATATTATTAATTTCTGAGCTTAATTTGTACAGTCTGAATCATGTTAGGGTAATAGCTTCCTTTCAAAAGTATGTAACTTAATCGAAGTTTATTTAAATTAAATAATAATTTGAACAAATGTGTCACAAAATCTGAGTAATAAGTGTATTTTATAATAGAAAAATTCCCATAAAATAAAGATGACAAATTAGACGATTTTATTAAATGGCCTTGATAAATGTAGTAGACTAATTACCTTTGCACTGGAATGGTTAGATATTTGTACCTATCGTGAACTGGGAGGAGTACTGTATATATATTGTATACAGCAGTGAGTGTGATTACTGAGAATGGCGAGTTTTCACAGGGTTCACGTCTACCCCTGGATCTGAGGCATTAGGCAGGCTATTGTAATCTACGGCATCGGGAGGAAGGCCTATCATCTTTGAAGGTCTCGTCTTCAGATCACTGATTTTCTTGGATCTGCGCAGACTTCCACATATTTTCAAGCTAGATGCTCCATGGAGATCACAAGTCTTCAGTCCAGGATACCACGTCGCGGGATGGAAGTGATGAGTACCATTCCAGTGCAGTTTATTTTGATTTGGGGCCTATTTTATGTAATTTTAGTTGAATTTTGAGGCGTAAAGACTTAGAGATAGTTTGTTAGAGTGTGTTTTATGAGATTTTGTGTAGGAGAGGGGAGAATTTACAGGGTACTTAATTTGTTTTTAGTAAGTGATTATTTTATTTGAACAGAGAAAAATTACTCGGAGTTTCCAAGTAAAAGAGTCAAAATTGTAATGTATTTTATGGTCATATCTAAAATTCTATAATTCTTTGTAAACATTACGAATTGTTGTAATAAAAATCTTTTCTGGAGTAAACTGTTTTATTTTGCTTCCAATCTATGTTTGGGTGCATACTGTCTCACTATTGATGGCTTTAAGCTGAAGAGTAGCATCTCTCATAATGAGTTAACTGTAGTACATAAAATATGAGGGACGTTACAAGTTGCGCCACTCTGCTAATCAATGTGAGTCAGACGTTATGCGGTTCGAGCACGGATTGGACAAAATAAAAATAAAGTAACATAAAGGCATCATTATGGCATTTAATGTGGATCTGCTCCTCAAGGACGAACTTTTGTATGAGCTGCAATGGAGGGGGTTACCTGTGACAAGTGACAATACTGTAGCGACTTTAAGAAAGCGGCTTAGGAAGGCATTAAAAGACGGGCTGCCCACAGATTGGAATAATTTGACTATTTTAAGAGTTTCAATCGAGATTGACAATTGTAGAGAAAAGCTAGGCGAACTTAGGGAGATTCTTGAGGGAATAGGTGGAGTTAAGGAACCGGTTCATGTACATAGGTTGAAAGAAAGGGTTTGTCATCTTCGTCGTAGGTTGATTAATTTGTTGGAGAACGGAGAAACGCGTTTGCCAAGTGAAAATCGCAAAGTGGTAGAGGAGTGGTCAAGGGAAACTTTTAAATGGGAGACGTTGCTTAGTAATAAAATGGGCGAGTTAGATAGTAGTGTATCGCAGGAAATTTTGAGAAAATTAAGCGAAAGCCATGAAGTAGAGGAGAGTAAGGTGGAAGTTGATGTTAGTGAAATGTGTAATGATGTTTTTAATTCGGACAATAGTTTAGTGAAAGCAGGTCCGTCCAAAGAAATCGATAGTGTAGTTAGCGAAGATAAGGGGCCAGCGACCTTAGTTAAAGAATGTGGTAATGATAACCAACAAAGCAATGTAAACTATGTTGGGGAATGCTCAAATCAATCCTCACTCAGTCAATCAAGTAAATTGTTTACTAAGTTAGTAAATCCTTTAGAAAGAACCTTAAGGGAAATTCCACCAAACACTAACGGTCTTGATCATGTTAAGCTGCTAAGTTTCATCACTGTTATAAATAAGATTAAGCAGTATGGTAATTTAAAGGAAGGTCAGTTATTAGAACTTGTTTCTAGTTATGTAAGTGAACCTTTACTTGGGAAAATAAATGGTCTCGTTAAAAGTGGATCGAACCTTCAGGACGCGCAGAAAGCATTGTTAAAATACTTTATTCCCCGCGGACTGTACGAGAAACTTAAGAGGGACATGGTACATAGACCACAACGTGCAAATGAACCTTTGGCGATGTATGTGTGTGATATTAAAAAGAACGTCGAGACTCTGATGTGTGAATATTCGGAGGATGAGTTAATCGAGATTATCATTATGGGAATAAACTCTAGTGATAGGAGTAAATTAGTGTTCCAAGGTTTGCCTAAAACGGTCCAGGATCTAGACAGAATGTGTATGTTCGTGCAGAACATAGATTATATCGATAAAGAGAGAGACGAGAGAGTAAGAAATCAGGCGCGAGGTAGTTACGCAAGTAAAGGTGTGAATAATGTGTCTGAATCTACAGAGCGAAATGTTCGTAACGATGACCGCCCTGTTTGTTTTTATTGTTCAAAACCGGGACATCAGATAAGAAACTGTTGGCAACGTAACAGCAGGGGGGGTTATGAGGGGACTGATAGAAGAAGTTTTTTTAGAGGTGTAAATAATAACGGGGAGAGTACCAGTGGGGAAAATAGGAACCAGTCTGTGAGTCAAAATCCGGAAAACTAATCGGTCGGAAGAGTGCCTTCCAAAAAACAGGTCGTGGGAATATGAAAAAGTTAATAAATAGAGTGCGAAGTACAGATGGTTATGTAAATAGATTAGATGTCAAGGAGCATTTCAAATTTGAGAAAATTAAATTGAGAAAGAAAGAGAGAAAGGAGAAAAACAAACTCTGGTTTAAGACCAAAAGGAGTATTTATAATTTGCCCACGGTAGGTATAAGTTTTGGTAAAAACTTTGTGAAATGTGCGTTATTGGATACTGGTTGTTCTGTAAATATTTTAAAGTCAAGTGTATATGAGGAATTGGAAGCTAGGAAATTAATTCTAAGTTTCTCTAGAGAAAATATTAGCTGTAGCACAGCTACAAACGAACCAGTCGAGATAATCGGAGTTTGTCATGCTAAGATAAGAATCCAAGATAAGACATGGGTAGTGCGGTTTGTAATAGCGAACAAAATAAGTTGGGATGTCATATTAGGTATGCATTTTATGGAGAAAACAGGATTACACTTAAACTTAAGAGAAAATCAAGGGTATTTTGCATTTGACTCTGGGAATGTATTTAACTTAAATGTTGGCATTAAACCTGTTAAGTTGTTGACGAATGAAGGCACACAGGAATTGAAAATTGGGTGCGAAGCGCTTAAGGAACAGATAGTTAAGCTAGTAGAGGACAATTCAAAAGTTTTTACAAATGAGATAGGGAAGGCGATTGATTTCGAGTGTGAAATAAAACTCAAAGATACAAATCCTGTTAAAATAAAACCTTATCCAGTGTCACCACCTAATATGAAGGTTATGAGGGAGATAACTGATTCCCTTTTAAAACAGGGAATAATCGAGCCAAGTTTATCATCGTATTCATCTCCGAGTTTCCTTGTAAGTAAAGGGGAAGGAAAGGGTTATCGCTTGGTTACAAATTACAAGGAGTTAAATTCTAAAATCGAGCCGATTGTACATCCCATTGGAGAGCTCCATGGATCATTTAATTATCTCAGCGGGGCGTCTATTTACACAGTTTTAGATTTGAATAATTCTTATTATCAAGTTCCTCTAGACAAAAAAAGTAGACACTTAACTGCCTTCAGCACTCCATACTCCTTGTATCAGTATACTCGGTGTCCTTATGGGTTACATCTAGGATCTGGGCTTTTATCAAGCTACTTAGACAGAGTCTTTTCGGACATGAAATTCATAAGTGTGATATCTTTTGTAGATGATGTTGTTGTGTTTTCGAAAACCCCGGAAGAACACATAGAACACCTCACGGAGGTCATAGCACGTTTATCGAAAGCTAATCTAACAGTAAATCCGAGCAAAGTTCTATTTGCAGCTGAGGAGATCAGTTTTTTGGGACATAGAGTATCTCATAACAGTCTAAAAATAGATCCGGACAGAACCAAGGCGATTAGAGATTAT